ACACCAGTTATACTTACATCGCCGTGCCGCTCCCCTGAAAAAAGCCACCCTAGGCAAATGCATTGTTTGCCTCGTGGCAAATACGCCCCTGGGACAAGTGAGGGGCAGTGGGACAGGAGGAGCACAGTGGGGCAAGTGAGGGGCAGTGGGACAGGAGGAGCACAGAGGGACAGGTAGGGGGCAGCATGACGGGGGACATGGGACAGTATCGGGGCAGCTGGACAGGAGGAGCGCAGAGGGACAGGTAGGGGGCAGTGGGACAGGAGGAGCGCAGTGGGACAGGAGGAGTGCAGAAGGACAGGTGAGGGGCAGTGGGACAGGATGAGCGCAGAGGGACAGGTGGGGGGCAGCGTGACAGGGGGTATGGGACAGTATCGGGGCAGCTGGACAGGAGGAGCGCAGAGGGACAGGTAGGGGGCAGTGGGAGAGGAGGAGCGCAGTGGGATAGGTGAGGGACAGTGGGACAGGAGGAGCGCAGTGGGACAATTGAGGGGAAGTGGGACAGGAGGAGTGCAGTGGGACAGGTGAGGGGCAGTGGGACAGGAGGAGTGCAGTGGGACAGGTGAGGGGCAGTGGGACAGGAGAAGAAGCACAGAGGGACAGGAGGAGCGCAGAAGGATAGGTGAGGGGCAGTGGGACAGGTGAGGGGCAGTGGGACAGGAGAAGGAGCACAGAGGGGCAGGAGGAGTGCAGAGGGACAGGTGAGGGGCAGATGGACAGGAGGAGCACAGAGAGATAGGTGGGGGGCAGCGTGACAGGGGGCATGGGACAGGATTGGGGCAGCTGGACAGGAGGAACGCAAAGGGACAGGTGAGGGGCAGATGGACAGGAGGAGCGCAGAGGGACAGGCGGGGGGCAGTGGGGACAGATGGGTGGTAGTGGGAAAATGTGGGGGACAGGAGGGGGAAGTGGAAGAGGTGTGGGGCAGGGTGACATGTGGGGGCAGGGGGCAGTGTGATGGATGGGGGGCAATGGGACGGGGGAGGGAAGTAGAACAGGTGGGGGGCAGTGTATCAGGGGACAGTGAGACAGGACCGAGGGAGCACCAGTCCTCCAAGCACTTACCTGTCCAGCAGCGGCTCCTCCAGATGGTGTCAGGATCATTCCTGTGTCTGTGTCCCTTCACCCCCACAATCTCCAGTGGCAGCTGCAAAGGAGCGAGCGGGCTCTGCCCCCCTGACCTCGTCCTCTTCTGCTTCCTCCTCCACGGCACCTTATGGCCTTACACCGGCACACTGACAGCCCCGCCCCTCATGCGCCCTGAGCACACACCGGGGATTCGCCCACTACTCCGCTCTCCTCTGCAGCCGGTCCCTTAGCCATGGCAGCCCTGCCCCTGTCCCTTTCCCATGGAAGTGTTCCTGCTGTGGGAAAGGGGGGGCGGCACTGCCGCCGTGCCGCTCCCCTGAAAAGTGCCGCCCTAGGCAAATGCCTAGTTTGCCTCGCGGCAAATACGCCTCTGCATGTCCCATAGAAAACCATGTTAAATGGAGTGTAGTGCGTTTCTGCAAAAAGCACAAAAAAATGCATTGGTGTAAACCAGGGGATAGTGAGCATTGAGCTGAATGTAGAATGCTGGAGCTCAAAGCTGTCTCAAGTTCACAGTGTCTAGAATTGTCTAATCTAGTGGTCTCCTAACTGCGGCCCAGGGGCTGGATGTGGCCCTCTGCTTGCCTTTATCTGGCCCTCGGGTCACTGTTCCATCTACTGACACCAATGATGGAGCACCATTCCCCCTACCGACACCATCAGTGGGGCACTATTCTCCTCATTGTTATCAACAATGGGGCACTATTCCTCCCATTAAAACCAATGATGGGTCACTGATGCCGAGACATTTTCTATTCCCGCTGACCGCAGTCCAGCCCCCCTAAAGCCTGAAGGACAGTAAACTGGCCCTTTGCTTAGAAAGTTTGGAGACCCCTGGCCTAATCTAATGTCCAGTCAAGAGGACAGTCGTAGACAAAAAGAAAATGTATTCAGTATTATTAAACGTTAAAGAAATGCCCGTAGCGAAAATAAAGAAGAAATAGCGCAGGGCATACATGACTAGGCCCAGAGTGGGGGAAGGAGGAGCAGAAAGGGTTAAGGTTAGCTCCAGGGGGTTTGTTATTGATAATGGGGGTAGCTGATTGGTAGAGGTTGGTGTAGGTGGGGTTTTGCTGCACCTTAGGGTGGGAGGTTCTGTGAGGGGGCGTCAGTTTAGCTGGACGGCAGGCGTGTGAGCTTCCCTCCCGCCCTCCCTGTTTGGGTGAGTATTGGGTCCCTCCAGGAAGTGGGGGTGTTATGTTGGTTCATGGGCGGTTGTTGGTCTTTGGAGGCGGTTCTTATCTTGGAAGGTAAACAACAATGGTGTGGGACCCATCGGTGGTATGGGATGCCTGGGGACATTCCCAGTTAACCAAGGTTTAACTGGAAGGTGGTGGTGCTGCACTGCGGACGGTATGGTTGTCTCCAAGCTGGTTGGTTGCGGCTGGAGGCCTAGTGTAATATGGTTGTCCGCAGATGCATTTCGGATCGTTTGGGGGTGCCTTCGAAGACCAACAACAATTCTTTGGGTTTCTGTTATAAGAATGGTTGGTGTATTGTAACTTGAGTTGTTAATAAAAGGCCATGTTGGCCATTTACTCCAAAATTGGTGTCATGTCTTTTGTAAGTATAATTGGTTAAGGCAGTGCTTCTCAAATAGTGGGGCGCGCCCGCTCCGTCAAGGGGGGCACGTACAGGGGTGGGCAGAGGGCTGCTGTCTCTTACCTGGCTCCCACGATGATCCATCCAGGAAGCGCTGCTCCTTCCGTCACTCCGGCCACTCCCTCACTCCTGCCGCTCGGCTCCGCCTCCTCACCGGTGATTGGCCGCCAGAACTGTAGCTCAGGAAAGGTACACAGGCGGCCAATCACGGGCGAGGAGGCGGAGCCGAGCGGACCCGCGAAAATCGAGTGAGGGAAAAGCCGGTAAGTGTGCAGTGCAGAGGTGCTGCTGCAACCACATATGCTTCTGCAGCAGCACCATATTGCAACAGGGGTCAGCAAGTGTCATTGGTGTCAGTGGGAGGAATAGTGCCGCATCATTGGTGTCACTGACACCAACGATGGGGCACTATTCCTCCCACTGACACCAATGATGGGGCACTATTCCTTCCACTGATACTAATGATGGGGCATTATTCCTCCCACTGACACCAACGATGGGGCACTATTCCTCCCAGTGATACCAATGAGGGGCACTATTCCTCCCAGTGATACCAATGAGGGGCACTATTCCTCCCACTGACACCAATGATGGGGCACTATTCCTCCCACTGATACTAATGATGGGGCATTATTCCTCCCACTGATACTAATGATGGGGCATTATTCCTCCCACTGACACCAACGATGGGGCACTATTCCTCCCAGTGATACCAATGATGGGGCACTATTCCTCCCAGTGACACCAATGATGGGGCACTATTCCTCCCACTGACACCAATGATGAGGCACTATTCCTCCCACTGATACCAATGATGGGGCACTATTCCTCCCACTGACACCAATGATGGGGCACTATTCCTCCCACTGATACCAATGATGGGGCACTATTCCTCCCACTGACACCAATTATGGGGCACTATTCCTCCCACTGATACCAATGATGGGGCACTATTCCTCCCACTGACACCAATGATGGGGCACTATTCCTCCCACTGACACCAATGATGGGGCACTATTCCTCCCACTGACACCAATGATGGGGCACTATTCCTCCCACTGACACCAATGATGGGGCACTATTCCTACTTATAACAATTTTATAGACAAATGATACTATTTACAGTCGCGCGGGGGGGGGCGCGAAATGTTTTTCTTCTTCCTAGGGGGGGGCATGACAGAAAATAATTGAGAAGCACTGGGATAAGGGGAAGGGGGTTGGTGCGGAACGGTAATGGTGGTAATGGGAAGTGGACGAGCCTATCTCTGGTGCAATAGTCAAGAGTTTAAATGACTAAAGTTAGCACACAAAAGTAGTGCCACCAACTGGAATTGTCAAGATGTTTACATGTTTGAAAATGTTCAGCTTTTTTTATCCTGCAATAAAAGGTACCTTGAGATTGTTTGAAATACCACACTGTGTCAAATAAGTGGCTACAGTGAATCCTGTTTTCCACAATCAACTGATATATAATGATATTTAAATGACCCTCGTAGCCCACTATATTTTATGCAGAATTGCATTTCTGGTACAGCCTCGTACCCTAGAGCTTTATATTGTGCTGCCAATTGTCTGTATCCTATTTATGATGCCAAGGACTTTTCATTTTAGTGTCACGAAATACACAAAAGGCTTATATATTTCTACTTGTATTAACAACTTCCAGGTAGCAGAACGTTCAACTGACTGCAATACTAATTATTCAACACAGAAAACTGACCATAAGGTTAACACAAATATATACATGGGAATCGCAGGAAGGAAAACCGTAATAAGCATTTTCATTTTTCTCGTTTTATATAGCACAAGCATATTCTACAAAGCAGAACAGTCAGCTGAGATTTCAGTTTTGCATGGATGCTGGAAAGGTGAATCACATGCTGGTTTACTACATCTCTCGGGAGATCCAGTGGTATTTCCAGTTCTGCCTAAAAGCTTCAGCCAAAACAAAGCCATATGACATGTTATATTCCCCTGATAGATTCTTCATACTGATGAATTTTTGGGGAATCCAGATGAGAGAGACGCTTTTGTTATATTATTGCATAGGAGTTAGAGATATCAACTAATGCTAAAATATATCTCCATTGGAGAAATGTATACAACATACTGTATATTAAAGCAATCCCATGGGTGATACAACACAATGGGTTCCTACACAAATCTATTATATTTTGGAGTAGTCAGCTATTGACGTAGACTGCAGAACCTTCTTCATCAGTATAGCCTGTAGTCCAGGGGTCCTCAAACTTTTTAAACAGGGGGCTAGTTCACTGTCCCTCAGACCATTGGAGGGTCGGACTATAGTTTAAAAAAAAAAAAACTATGAACAAATGCGGACACAGTGCAGGAGATGACCAGAGACTGCAGACATAGTACAGGAGATGACCAGAGACTGCGGACATAGTACAGGAGATGACCAGAGACTGCGGACATGACCAGAGTACAGGAGATGACTGCGGAGAGAGTACTGCGGACATAGTACAGGAGATGACCAGAGACTGCGGACATAGTACAGGAGATGACCAGAGACTGCGGACATAGTACAGAGATGCGGACCAGAGATGACAGAGACTGCGGACATAGTACAGGAGATGACCAGAGACTGCGGACATAGTACAGGAGATGACCAGAGACTGCGGACAGTACAGGAGTACCAGGAGATGACACCAGAGACCTGCGGACATAGTACAGGAGATGACCAGAGACTGCGGACACAGTACAGGGGGAGATGACCAGTACAGACTGCAGACAGTACAGGAGATGACCAGAGACTGAGGACACAGTACAGGGGATGACCAGAGACTGCAGAGATGACCAGAGACTGCGGACACAGTACAGGAGATGACCAGAGACTACAGGAGATGACCGGACACAGTACAGAGATGACCAGGAGACACATGACCAGAGACCAGAGACTGCGGACATAGTAGAGACTGCGGACACAGTACAGGAGATGACCAGAGACTGCGGACACAGTACAGGAGATGACCAGAGACTGCGGACACAGTACAGGAGATGACCAGAGACTGCGGACACAGTACAGGAGATGACCAGAGACTGCGGACACAGTACAGGAGATGACCAGAGACTGCGGACACAGTACAGGGGGAGATGACCAGAGACTGCGGACACAGTACAGGAGATGACCAGAGACTGCGGACACAGTACAGGAGATGACAGAGAGACTGCAGACAGAGACAGACACAGTACAGGAGATGACCGGAGAGACAGGAGATGCAGAGACTGCGGACACAGTACAGGAGATGACCAGAGACTGCGGACATAGTACAGGAGAGGAGATGACACCAGACCAGAGACTGCGGACACAGTACAGGAGATGACCAGAGACTGCGGACACAGTACAGGAGATGACCAGAGACTGCGGACACAGTACAGATGACAGGAGGACTGCGGATGTACAGGAGATGACCAGAGACTGCGGACACAGTACAGGAGATGACCAGAGACTGCGGACACAGTACAGGAGATGACCAGAGACTGCGGACACAGTACAGGAGATGACCAGAGACTGCGGACACAGACATAGTACAGAGACTGCGGGTACAGGATGATGACCAGAGACTGCGGACACAGTACAGGAGATGACCAGAGACCAGAGACTGCGGACATAGTACAGGAGATGACCAGAGACTGCAGACATAGTACAGGAGATGACCAGAGACAGAGACTGCGGACACAGTACAGGAGATGACCAGAGACTGCGGACACAGTACAGTACAGGAGATGACCAGAGACTGCGGACACAGTACAGGAGATGACCAGAGACTGCGGACGTACAGGAGATGACAGAGAGACACAGTACAGGAGATGACCAGAGACTGCGGACACAGTACAGGAGATGACCAGAGACTGCGGACTGTACAGGAGATGACACAGTACAGAGATGACCAGAGACTGCGACACAGTACAGGAGATGACCAGAGACTACAGTACAGGAGATGACCAGAGACTGCGGACACAGTACAGGAGATGACCAGAGACTGCGGACACAGTACAGGAGATGACCAGAGACTGCGGACACAGTACAGGAGATGACCAGAGTACAGGAGATGACCAGAGACTGCAGACGTAGACTACAGGAGATGACCAGAGACTGCGGACACAGTACGTGACCAAACAGTACAGGAGATGACCAGAGACTGCAGACGTAGTACAGGAGATGACCAGAGACGTACAGCAGGAGATGACAGTACAGGTACAGGATGACCAGAGACTGCGGACACAGTACAGGAGATGACCAGAGACTGCGGACACAGTACAGGAGATGACCAGAGACTGCGGACACAGTACAGGAGATGCGGACAGCAGGAGATGACCAGAGACTGCAGACAGTACAGGAGATGACCAGAGACTGCAGACGTAGTACAGGAGATGACCAGAGACTGCAGGTACAAAACAGGAGATGACCAGAGACTGCGGACTGCAGACGTAGTACAGGAGATGACCAGAGACTGCGGACACAGTACAGGAGATGACCAGAGACTGCGGACACAGTACAGGGGATGACCAGAGACTGCGGACACAGTACAGGAGATGACCAGAGACTGCGGACACAGTACAGGAGATGACCAGAGACTGCGGACACAGTACAGGAGATGACCAGAGACTGCGGACACAGTACAGGGGATGACCAGAGACTGCGGACATAGTACAGGGGATGACCAGAGACATACAACGGCGGTGGGAATTCTGGGCCGGCCGCTCCATAAGACGCACAGACATTTCCCCCAAGTGTGTCTTATGGAGCGAAATAGTGCCCCATCATTGGTGTCAGTGGGAGGAATAGTGCCCCATCATTGGTGTCAATGGGGGGAGTAATAGTGCCCCATTGTTGGTGTCGGGGGGAGGAATAGTGCCCCATCGTTGGTGTCAGTGTGGGGAGGGAATAGTGCCCCGTCATTGGTGTCAGTGGGGGAAGGGGATAGTGTCCCAACATTGGTGTCAGTGGGAGGAATAGTGTCCCATCATTGGTGTCAGTGGGAGGAATAGTGTCCCATCATTGGTGTCAGTGGGAGGAATAGTATGTCATTGGTGTCAGTGTGGGAGGGGAATAGTGCCCCATCATGGGTGTCAGTGGGGGGATAGTGTCCCAACATTGGTGTCAGTGGGAGGAATAGTGCCTCATCATTGGTATCAGTGGGGAAAGGAATAGTGCCCCATCGTTGGTGTCAGTGGAAGGGAGGAATAGTGCTCCTTCGTTGGTGTCAATGGGGGAAGGAATAGCGCCCATTGTTGGTGTCAGTGGGGGGAGGAATAATGCCCCATCATTAGTATCAGTGACACCAATGATGGGGCACTATTGCTCCCACTGACACCAATGACACTTAACTTGCTGACCCCTGCTCCAGCATACCTGGTTGCACAGCGCCATCAGCACGGCACACTTACCTGTCAGCTCTCCTTCTTCACTCCGGCCTCTCCCTCACTCGATGTTCACGGGGCCGCTCGGCTCCGCCTCCTCGCAGGTGATTGGCCGCCTGTGTTCCTGAGCTACAGTTTTGCCCAATCACCGGTGAGGAGGCGGAGCCAAGCGGCAGGAGTGAGGGAGTGGCCGGAGTGAATGAAGGGAGCAGCACTTCCTGGACTGGATTGTCGTGGGAATGGGACCGGAGCCAGGTTAGGTATAGTAGCCCCCTGCCCACCCCTGTACTTAGTGTCCCTTACTCGCGGAAAATACACCCCTGTCGGCGAGCCGGATAAATGGCCTCGGCGGGCCGCATGTGGTCCGCGGGCCGTAGTTTGAGGACCCCTGCTGTAGTCTAATGGATTTAGAAAACAAAAAAAAAACACAGTCCTCTCTAGGCCAGTAAACCATGGTATTGTGAAATATTTAAGGAAATCAGAACATTCAAGTCAAACCAACAGAAACACAAGGAAAACATACAAATGACTGTCAGGTAACATCTTACTAAGAATATTTTAGTCTAGACCCGTTTCTACTCTCCTTGTGGTCCCTGTAATACCAAACACAACTAACGCTTTATTAATGAAGCCACAGCATCGCCACACTTCAGGACCAAGGTCATTTCAAAATGCACCTGAAAGTGACATCAAACGTACGTAGTCGCCAGCACACCGTGGATCTCCAATATGGTCCAAAAAAGGTTTTTATTTCAAAAAGATCACATCACAATAGAAAGTACAATGTTTGGAGCCATGCAGGACCCCTACGTCAGGCAATCCCAGTTCCAGCTGAAGAAAAACAGCCCCAAAGTATGTTGCTGCCACCACCATGCTTCACTGTGGGTATGGTGTTCTTTTGGTGATGTGCTGTTGTTTTTGCACCAAACATATGTTTTGGAAAAAAATGACCGAAAAGTTCAACCTTGGCCATAACACATTTTCCCACATGCTTGTGGAAGCCTTCAGATGTGCTTTTGCAAAATTTAGCCAGGCTTGGATGTTTTTCTTCGTAAGAAAAGGCTTCCATCTTGCCACTCTACCCCATAGCCCAGACATATGAAGAATACAGGAGATTGTTGTCACGTACCACACAGCCAGTACTTGCCAGATATTCCTGCAGCTCCATTAATGTTGCTGTAGGCCTCTTGGCAGTCTCCCAGACCAATTTTCTTCTCATCTTTTCATCAATTTTGGAGGGACGTCCAGTTCTTTGTAATGTCACTGTTGCGCCGTATTTTCGCCACTTGATGATGACGGTCGTCACTGTGTTTCATGGTATATCTAATGCCTTGGAATATCTTTTGTGCCCTTCTCCTGACTGATACCTTTTAACAATGCGATCCCTCTGATGCTTTGGAAGCTCTCTGCAGACCATGGCTTTTGCTGTAGGATGCGATTAAGAAAATGTCCGAAGGACACGGCAATCACAGAGATCGTTGGGGGCATGCCCCTGGGGGCGTGCAGGAGAACACATTCTGGGAGGACGTCATATGACGCCCTCCCAGAACTAGCCAGCCGCAGTGTAGCCATCATTCGGCTATCTGCGGTTGGCAAGTAGTTAACTTGTAAAGTTGGAAACTTTATGTGTTGCAGCCATTTTTGGTGTATGTTATTAGCTGCACTTTATTTGATATTTGACCATGAAAGTGTTTTTGCATTCAGTTTTTTATCTCTGTCACAATTAATTTTCTTTATATAGGCTTTTTTGCAGAAGCTTTATAAAACCTCTTTCTGCAATAAAATGGGTCAGTATATCTTTATAATCACAGCTGTAAAATTCTTATTTTTAGTATATATGGTTGTAAAGGGAATCCTATTATTTTCTCCTTTCTCTGTTTTTTTTTTTCTTTCTTGTGTCAAAGAAAACTGATCTATATGCTGATTTTCCACACAGGCTTTATCTGACACCATTTTCTTGTACAATTGTTAAGGCTTCATGCACACGGGACATTTTAAAAATGCTCCTCCTTTTGGCAGAAAAACGCCTGCTTTCAAAAGTGTCTAAGAAAAGCTTCACCCTGTGCAGAGATTTTCCAACTTGTGGGGCAAAAGTCTTCACGAGGGAGGTAAAACAAATCTTAATGCCAGAAAACAATTTTGCAACTTTGTTAGTAAGACTTTACATATCATTGAAACCAGGGGCGGACTGACAACTCATGGGGCCCCCGGGCAATAGGGGATCATGGGGCCCCTGTGTCCTTGCCCAAACTCAAAAAAGCCTATGAAAAAGGTACCAGGGGCATCTCATAGGGCCCCCTAAAGACCCCGGGCCCTCGGGCGGTGCCCGAGTTTCCAAATGGTCAGTCCACTCCTGACTGAAACTACTCCCAGCACAAAATATATATACACACATATGAGGCCTCAGGAAAGAAGTGCCACGTCAGTGAGGTTGCATATATGTGTACAATCGGTAGCAAGTGGTTCACCTTACAGTTAAACCTTGCATAAACAAACAGTAGCCACCACTATGGGTTTTTTTTTTAACAAAATCATACACCTTTCACAACATTTCTGAAATATAAGAAATGTCTGAGACACTTGCAGAGAGAATAGCTTATGGTAGCTTTCTCTAAAGAGGCAATAAATCTAAATTCTTATTAAGAATTTATCTTATTAAGACCTCCTTCTCTCTAGTTCCCTGGTCTCCTCCTCCCATGCCCGCCTCCAGGACTTCTCCAGGGTGTCACCCATCCTCTTGAACTCCCTGCCCCAACCCATCAGATTATCAGCTACTCTCCTCTCCTTTAGGCGCACCCTGAAAACCCATCTCTTCAGGGAAGCCTACCCCACCCCCTGCTAACTTGCCGACCTCCTCCACTCTTCCTACCACTCCATCCCCCACAGCTATCTCCTCCTGTGCCACCATCCCCTCCCTCCTAGATTGTAAGCTCCAAAGAGCAGGCCCTCGATCCCCTCATGTTTTGCATTGTATTGGTATTGTTCTGTCACATGTTCTGTCCCCCTTTGTAATGTACAGCGCTGAGCGAACTATTGGCGCTTTATAAATACTGTATAATAATAATAATAATTAAGAGCACTCAGAGATTCAGTTTAACAATTTTAACATATAATTTTAATGAAAGAAAAAAAAGGGGGTGCAAGAAAATATTTACAGAAAAATAGGAATTTTTACCTGTAAATCTCTTAACTTGGAATACAGTACAGGTCACAAAACTTGTATTCATTGATCATGGGCTATATGCATGCTACCTTCAGGTGATTGGACACAAAAAAAAACTTTCTTGTGCCCAGTGCTGGATTTATAAGGGAGCAAAAGGGACAATTGCTATGGGCCTGGCTTCGAGAGGGGGCCCCAGACTTCCTTTATAAAAAAAAAAATGGAATAATTGTTAATTTTCTAATAATAAAACTAAATTTATAAAGTGTGCGGGGGTGTCAGGATTTGGAACAGAAATCAGACTTCAGAGGCAAAGGAAGGAGTGAGGGCTAGAGATGTGCATGACTAAAATATTTGTTTTGTTTTGGATTCATTTGTTAAGTCAGTCATGTCATTTATTCATATTCTTTATGTTAATATGATTCCTTTTTGAGATTTGATTTTGTATATTCGGATTCATTTCATATATATTCGTTGTTCTGAATTGATCTGTATTTTCGAAAGTTATTTCAAAAGATTTGGATTCATTCCTTATATTCCCAGTGTGACTTTGCATTGCAACTTGCTTGTGACTTAGATGCCTTGTGACTTGCTTGCGACGTTGATGTTTTGCAACTTTGGCTTTTACCAATCATACCAATACAGAGTGTGACATATTGTTGCGGTACATGGGCTCCCTCAAGCTCTCAGACCTGTGAAAGGACCCCTGATATTGATGTACATCGTTAAGGATTATAATAAAATTTGTTCTTTTATTCATAAAAAAAAACTTTAAAGTCCCATTAGAGGAAACAATAGTTGTAAACCTTTGAAAGGACCTTAGGATTCCTGACATCAAGGAGAGGGACCAATACTGATTGGAAACCTTCCTTGATCCTCATTACAAGGAGTAAGTCAAAGAGCTCATCCTCCCCTTGCAGAGGGAGCAGAGCATGAAACATCTGGAGGATGCACTACAGCCTTTAATACATTTTTCAGTCCTTAGTACCCAGGACTGCCTGTTGTTGGCACTTTTCAGTAGCAGCTGCATCATATGGTGGCTGATTATCTGGCAAGAAAAAGTGGATGTAAAGACCCTCTGAATGGATGACTGTCAGGGCAGGAGCTGAGGAACGGACAGGCAGGCCTAAACAATGTAACACACTGGCTGACGACAACCACCACCCCACAGACCGAAGTCCCTAAGGGCACGGAGTCTAAGTCCCAGGCT